AGGAATCTAGCGCAAACTGGTCCTTGTAACTCGCTCTATCCCATGGAAATCTAGCGCAATGTGGGTCTCTTGGCAAAGGTCGTTCTTCCCTTCGCGTCAAAGAAGTGAGAAGATCGATCGGCTTCCCTGCTGACGCTGCCTTTATATAACAATGTCGAGACATATCCCCATTACTCAAACTCTATTTTGTCTTTTCTTCTCCAGCTTCGCTCTACCGATACTCTGACATCTTCCAAGCCCCTGCTCCTTCGATCGATCGTCGTTCAGGAGTATCACGACATCAGTACTAGGTTACAACTACTACAACTAATAGCATCACAAATTGTCTTCAGAAACATCTACGAATAAACCGACAAGATGGACGGCATGTCAATGGCCACCACCACCACTGCCATGGCTGCCACTGGCACCATGAGCATGGCTGCTACCACCAGCACCAAGGCCGCCATGTCTGGCATGGGAAGCAGTACTGGCTGCAAGATCTCTGTACGTCTTGGCCATCACCATCTATCTCTGCTACCCATGGCGCCTACTAACCGCTTCATAGATGTTGTGGAACTGGAACGTCATTGACAGCTGCTTCATCAGCAGCCAATGTACGAATTCTCTACCTGTGCCGACGACAATGATAAAGCACTAACACCCATACAGGGAAGATTACCTCCAACGGCATGTTTGCCGGCTCATGTATCGGGGTTATTCTCCTGGTCATGGTTCTTGAGGCTCTTCGCCGCGCCACCAAGGAGTACGACAGATACCTCATCAAGGCCCACAAGCAGCAATACGCCAACGCCGGTGCCGTCTCCCCGAGCTCCGCTAGCGCCGACGACCACGGCAAAGGCCCCTCCGGCTCCGCCGCCGCTATCACCGCCAACGTCGTCCCGCCTTTCCGCCCCAACGTTCTGCAGCAAGCCGTCCGCGCACTCATCCACATGTGCCAATTCGCCGTCGCTTACTTTGTCATGCTGTACGTTGCCTTGACGCGGCCTTCACCTCAAAGAATGGCGCTAATATCGTCCTTAGTCTTGCCATGTACTACAACGGTTACCTCATCATCTGCATCTTCATCGGTTCCTACATCGGTGCCTTCCTGTTCCAATGGGAGACTATTTACGATGGCCCCACCTCTGCTGCCAGCGAGGCCACCGTCTGCTGCGGTTGAACATGAATAAAAAAACTTGATACACCAGCTTCAGGGTTACGAATACGGGAGACGACATACGACGTCTTTGAGGAGGGATCATAATACTATACCCACGCAGCGTTCCAGCTGCCCTACTGTTTGAATCTTAATTCAGCGCGAATAATACATCAACACTCTTCAACATCAGCAAATTCCGATGCCCAACCCCTTCTCCTCCCCCTCGTTATGTTATGTGTGATGGATGCAATATTCGACTTCCTACCTTATGTTGGGAATTTGGCCGTCTTATTGCCGAGAGCTTAAACATTAGCGCTTGCTCAACCCTCTTCCCTCTCCGACGAGTCCCGCACTCTCTTAGGTGTAAGATGATTGGATCAATCGTCTACCCGTCCCATCCCGCGGAAATGGACGGCTTTCGTCTACTGATCGGAAGAGGGGAGTAAGTGACTCGGATACGTGATCTCATCGTACGTCTTGAATCATCTTAACCATCAATATAAATACCCCCCCATCTTGCGTGCCCAAGCTCAACATCCAGCTGCAAACCACCCCGACCACTTTCTCCATACAGACTATTGCAATGGCTATCACCGAACTTCATACCAAGGAGCTCAGCCCCGGCTTCGGGATCGAAGCACACAACTTTCCATTTCGACCTGACACACTCGATCAAAGCGCTCGCCTGATTGAAGATCTTGTCAAAAAGGTAAGCTTCCGAGGTACCCTTCTTATCTGTCAAGCCTGCCTATCATACTTGACTACCTTAATAACCCCTGAACAGCACGGCTTCCTCGTCATCCGCAAAAGCGGCCTTACAGACAAAACCCACATCGCCCTAGCCCGACATCTCGGCGAGCTAGACGATGTCAAGCCCTACAACAAAGCGGGTCGTATCAACCGCCTCCAGTACGACGAGCTCTTTGACGTAGGCAACATCGAGGCAGACGGTTCCATCGTCGACCCTAAGTCCCCGCGTGCCCAGGCTGGGTTGGGTAATGCTCTCTTTCACGTCGATTCGAGTTTCAATCCTAGGCGGGCGGGCTATTCCATGCTCCTGGCACACGAGTTGCCTCCCCAGGGTACAGGTGGAAGCACAGAGTTTTGCGATACCAGGGCTGCGTGGGATGGGCTGGATGAGGATATGAAGGCGGAGTTGACGGAGAAAGACTACGTTGCTTGCCATTCTATCCTGCATTCCAAGAAACTCGCAGCCCCGGAGCACTTTGCGAACATTGAACCCGCAGACTATCCAATGGGACGACACAAGCTCGTGCAAAAACATGAAGCTTCCGGACGGATGAACCTTTATCTCGCAATGCACATCCACCGTATCGAGAACCTCACTCCGGAGGCCTCAAAGGCCTTGTTCGAGAAGCTCTTTGACCACGCTACGCAGGAAAAGTACCGCGTCGTGGTGGACTGGGAGGATGTCGGGGATATGGTCGTCTGGGATAATACCTGCACGATGCACCGCGCCATGGGCGGGGAGTGTGCGTACAAGTATAGGAGAGATATGAGAAGGGCTACTGTTCATGATGGGAGTTCGCAGGCATGGGGGTTGAATGAGAGGACGGATGTGAGGCAGGGGTTGCCGTGATGGATGGGTGGTGTTGGGATCGTGTCGAGATTGGATACATGGGTGCCGGACATCTTGGATATGTTCGCTGGGGGATGTCGTACAGAGAATTGAAATCTTTCTTTGGTTTCTTTGTTGTGAACAATCATCCCAGCCGTTGCTTACTAGCAGCTTGGACGTGGCTGCTGTCACTGAGGGACTCAGTGCCGAGGTCGTTTCTTGGATCCTTTGTTGAAGAAACAACTGTCGTTGATAGTTGAGGAAATAGATCTCGTGCCTGATTTGCCGGCGAGACCCCTGTTATGATGTACGTTGTCGATTGTCCGGCCACGAGGTTCTTCGTAACTGGCTATCTCGGCATTTACCGCAGTAGGCAAGATTTAGACACATGCAGTAAGCAAACTTCGCGATACTGGTACGCTCTTTGTCTACTAGCAGGAGACTTAACTCGATCAGTTGTTCACGGTTTTACCAAACTGCGTCATCGGAGGTAAGCAAACATGTCCTTCCGCCCAGCCAACTTTTGACGCGAACACGCTCATCTTTTCAGTAGAGGTTGCATTATTGAATCTTGAGGCCTTTGGTCGGAATAGCCATTCATTGTCACCGGCGGTTGTGAACATCGGCTAAAGGAAGAAGGAAAAGCTTGGAGCAATGCGTCCTGATGGCTCGTGGATGTGGCAATGGTTTGAGAGGCGGACGGACGGACTGGCGGTAGGCTGGATCATCTAATCAAAGTGTCAATGGTTTCTACTAGTTTAGGGTGAATGCTGCCGTGCGACCCTATGGCAAAGTCACAGAGGTGCTAGGGTAGTCTGAAGGACAGTTCTCTGAACAGCTTCATCTTGACCAGCCAAGGTGACAATCTGCAAGCATAGCGGACACGAGAACAGTCAAGTGATCTAGATCCCACAAAAACGTCTATTAATTCGTGTCAGTATAATCTGGAGTATTTAAGGGCGGGATTGTCCAGCATGGAAGCAGGAATGGCCCCTATCTAAACACCAAGAGCATCAGCACAGCGAGTCAATTGGCAGATTTGGTTTTCAGCCCCGAAAAGAAATTGTCGGCAATCTTACATTCACAGCTTGAACCGTCTATCTATCTTGAGGTATTGAGCTATTATCATTACCCCTGCTCAGGAAATTCGGCGAACCTCGCACATACTGATCGTACTAAATTCAGGGCGTCATATCTACAAACCGGGTTACCAAAGAGCTACCCAGCCGGCATTCCTATACAATCGGAGATTTGAACTGAAACAGGACGAATGAGAGCATGGATTCTCCCATCCTTACGAAACGATTTACCTGCCCTTATGTGCAGTGCCCATATTACGAATTCGCCGAGTTCCCAACTGAGATCGCTCGAAATGCGCATACAGCAAGGCACTTCCAGTGCTCGTACTGGCGGATTTGCAGCGAAACGTTCGATACTTTGTCAGTTGCAGAATATCACGAACAGACGCACGACAATGAATTTGGCAAGAACTTCGAGTGTTCTGGGTGCAATCAGAAACATCCCACTATGATCGAATATAAAAGGTGTGAAATATCACACCAGGGCGACCGTGATCAGAACGGCCCTAACTGGATTTGTACGGAACTGAAAGATGATGGGACTAGTACGTGTAACACACCCTTCAAGCGCGAAGAACGTTCCGAGTTTGCGAGCCACTTGTCGGAACATAACATACACATACCACCCGAACAATCGTCCACAGTTATCAAAGATTATAATGTCACGTCGAACGGACAAAGGTTCTGGTGTAAAGATTGTGGCCAGGCTCGCAAGCTCTATGATTCCGAATTCGAGAGTTACCCCCGTTTCTACGGGCACTGGCAGACGCGGTGTTTGGATCACCGCTCACGGCATATGATATCCTTGCGGGAAAGTGCGCTGCAACAGCCTAATCAGGAAGCGTCTTGATGAGGTTGAGGAGACTGATGATGTTGAATCTAGCGATTGTCTACGATCATTAGCTAGTGAACCAGAGCAGTGAAATATGTACACGAGAATCTAGCTGCTAGTTGAATATCTTTTCTATAAGAAAGTACCTGAATTTATATCCTTATCTTCTTTCTCATACAGAGTTTCTTTTAGCTTGATAGTGACACTCACATAGCTCTGGTTTGAGCAGGCTCTTCTTTCACGCAACACAAGAGTAAACACATTGACACCTAGTCGAATCTCATTGCCGTTAATGACTAATAGCTTTCAAAATGGTCTACTGAAACGTAGTCTCGAAGGCTGTCATCGGGGGAGGGTCACCTAGCCACAATGGTGAAGACGTATTTGCCGCCGGGGTATGTCAACGCTGGCAAACCGCAAAAAAGGTGAAGACAGGCGATCTGAATCGCCACGACTCATAAATCCTTAAAGTGACCGAGCCATGTTGTCATGGGACACTTCTTGCAGATATTCCAAAGAGATTGATCACGAAACAGCGCATGTTACGTGCTACTATGGGTATTGCAGCTTGCAATTCCAGAATGGAAACCTCCGGAAGATCCACGAACAAACCGAACACTTTGGTGGCAGTTTCATGTGTACTTTTGCGAACAGCCTTATGGGAATGCACTCCAATGGAGAGCATGCGAAGCATCACACGGTGCTGGCCGTGGACAGCCCCAGGTCTACTGGGTACCTATGTTCGAAGGCATCGGCCATGAATGGGAAAACGTGCAACACATCTTATACCAGTAAACAAGGTACCAACTACCAAAACCACCTGTGAATACGGCATGGCTATCACCGAACGGAGGATGGATGGAAAGAGATTCTCGATAAAACTTGTTTCAAGCATAGTGTATTCTGGTGGGGGCGTTGTGGTAAGGGTCTCAAATACGATGACCCGGCGATCAAAAGGGATCTCAAGCTCTACGGAATAGGACAATTACTTCGTCTAGATCACATACAAAAGCATGTGTTGGAAGATGGCGGCATCCATTGGCAGTGGCCTAGTCTGGGGGTGTGAGAGTGAGAAAATTCGTAGAATAGAAATCAGCTATTGTGCTCAATGATGGGCCGCTGGATGGACGGAGTAAGAAGCGCGAGAGTGAGGCGATTCATGGGAGGAGTCAGTGATTGTGCTTGATGGTGAGCCACTCAACCATGAGAACAGGGGATATTTCTTAGGACCTAGCTACTGGCCGAATATCTTGGACCTACTCAAACAGTTCAGTGAGTATGTTCCATCATCAAGGAAGTGCAGGTACAGGACGAGTTGAAACAAGCTGTCTGAAACTCTCCCCACGAGTGATGATTACCTTCTTCAAACAGATGCTCAAACATACGACGTGAAGCGACGCAGGTTATTACACGCTGAGTCAAGGGCACATTCTTACATGCAGTGTTTGGATCTCGGGGCCGGCGTCTGTTTGCTGCGAAGTGGAAAGTTCTTTTTTGCTGAACTCAATTCTGGACGGTGAGTTTCTCAAAGGGGGCGATGGGGATCATCTATTCAATATGACGAAGGCGCACGTGTTCATTGCCGTGACACCGTAATATGATTCTAATCAGAAGATCTGAAAATTTCTTATTTAGGCAGACTCGTTTCACTAAAGAAGGCCGGAGAGTTTCTTTCAAATGCCCTAGAAGGTCACCCATTGAACTCAAAGGCATGATATCCAGATTGAGCCATAGATTTTCTGCACTCGAAGCAGCGGGATCCAGGACGTAGCTTACAAAGTGGAGCCCCCTGGTGGCGGTTAGTGCTAGAATGGATTCATGGAATGGCTTTCATTCTGATCTCACCAGATGACGTTGGAAATCTGCATCCAGAAAGAGAGTCTTAGCCGATGAATGTTAGTCAAGAACAATGCTTTACCGCCCGAGGTAGAAGATTTGCAAGGGTATGGAAGTAGAACAGTCCAAGAATCCCGGCACTTTACGGGTCTGGTCCAACTGGGGTGTTGAAACGTAGCATTAATTCATTAGTAGTATATCAAGGGTGGACGTGTCATTCTTCGAGGTCAGGTCGAGACACACCACGACATCAGAACTACACAATCTCCAGACCTCGCACTTCCCCTATGAATTTGAGTGTCAACTCTCTCTATATCTTAAATCATCACCACCAATCTAACGTAGTTAAGGGTACCTACCACTTGATTTTCTTATCGGCATGGTCACGCGCCTAGAATATACTGACCTTGTTATTACAAAAGCATCATGTTCGCAAACGGGACAGAACGTGCGGAGAGGGATCGACGCACAAACGGGAACTCTGTCACAAACGGGAACCACAACCTGAATTCGCAGATCAACGGAGGTCCATCTACAAATGGAATCAGTATTAATGGCAGCAGAAATAATGTCAATGGCGTCCATGTCTATGTGTGCTACTACGGATATTGCGGCCAACGATTCACTACTGAGGCGGCTTATTCATCTCACGTTGATGAAGAGCACCAAAGAAGGCCTCGTAATCAGGAATTTCCGTGTACCTATCCGGGTTGCGGCACTTTCTTCTCAGTTGCGACGGACTGGAGAGATCACGAACTTGAACATGATGAGGAATATATCACGAATCCGACCAACATTTACTGGGTTTGCTCAGAACCTAGAGGTACAGGAGCGTGCAACACATCCTTCACCGCGAAACAACGTACCCAGTTCGCAGAACACTTAGTAACCCTGCACGGGGTGGGCCGATCATGGAGTGCGGTGATCCCAGTCCTCGGGAGATCGAGTTTTCCGATCTACGCTGACGGATTCTATTGCCCATGGTGTGTTAAGGGTATCAAATATAACGATCCAGACTTTTTACGATCCTTTGTTATCTGTGGTTTGGACCAGCCGCTGCGTTTGGATCACTTGCAACGGCACATGTTAGACGATGGAAACTCTAACGGGCACTTGCCTACTGCGGGAGTTTGAGACGAAGTACAAGAGGGAGGTATCTGACATACTAGAAGTCAGTGGTTGAGCTTGATGACCACTGGTTGCTGAACCATGGGAAACATGCGTGCCTCTTAGCATGTAGCTGCTAGTTGCATCTTCGAAATATCCTTAAAGTACTTAGGCGGTTGAGCACGCTTGAGTATCACAGAAGTGCAAGAGAAAATAAAATTAAAAAAAATAACAAAAAAAGAGAAGAAAAGAAAAAAAAACACGAATTTCTTTAACATCTTCCCTGCATTAAACGATTGTAATTCAGTTCCTCTTCCACCGGAACTTCGTATGATATAATGAATTGGCATCTAGTGACAGGTCACTACGCAATAATCAATACCCAACACCTTATGGACGGTGGTAATTTGTGTTTGGAATCCAAGACAGGCGCCCAACCATAAGAGTCATATTTGCTATCAGCCTCGACTCTTGGCAATGATCTCATTAGAGGCGGTAACAAAGATCATCTGTTCAAAGTAACAATCATGCACATGTTCATTTGCCAGGACATAGAAAACGCCATCCTACCGCCGCACCGTCAACCAAGATAGAAGGCCTGAATAATTTACCGCAGAAACATTCAGGCCCACAAAGAAGACTGGAAGGATGTGGCAACTGCTTGTTTGACATCGTTTACCGCAATCTTTGTGGAGAAACACCAATCCTTGCTGGCCGACAGAAAGTTTTCACCAATCAAACTCTTGGCCTTTACCGACCATCATTCGTCATGGCAGGATACCAAGATATTCTCCGCAAATTTCGCGATGTCAGCGAGTTATGGGTCCTTTCAGTCAATATTCGGTATCTTGAGTATCACAAGGTTTCACGCACTAGTCGGTTAATATTATTGCAAACTTGCGAACACTTTCATACTCAATTTTGACATCATCCGCTCGGCATTGAAGCCTTTGAAGGGTCGGATTGCCAAGGATACAATTACGTAGTGGCGTTTGAGAAAATCTCCATAAAGAATCCATCCAGGAATCAAAGTAACCACAAAGCCCTACCCACGAACCGTCTAAAGCTCATGACGGCAATCTGGACTATCTATCTAAGGTGTCAAAGACATACTTACCGCTGAATCATGGTAAACAACACCATACAACTGCGCGACTTGTCATCTCATACATTCCGGATTATGAAAGCCAGACAGCTTCACCCTGCTAGAGAGGCGTCAGTCGTTCATCAGCTCTTTGGCCACCTTTTTCGGGGAGTTTTACCGGCTATCTAGCTAAGCTTTTCCAAGAAATCATCAAGGCAGGTCTAGGTATTTTTCGGGATCATGGGTGCAGCTCACAACCCACAGACTCTCAGTGGCGGTCAATCTCAAGAATGGTTCATTGATAACTTTACATTTCGTTCTCGACAGGTGACATGACATTTCATATTGAAACACCAAAACATAGACGATCTACGTCGCTAGTGCGAAGAAGATGAACGCTTCACCGCTCAAGGTAAACTTATCATGAAAGGGGACTTAAGTTTGTCGAAACCATCCTAGCGATCACGAATTTCAACCCAGGTATCAATTACCGAGTCTTACCTCAAATATATGAAGGGCGGGGTGATCCGGCTTCTTAAGCAGAACAGCCAGTATTATACATCACGGCGCCAGCTAACAGACCTTGGTACTCTATGAAACGCACGCCTCAACTAAATCTGACATCTGTCTTCCCTGGACCCATAGTCTGAATTACCAGTCTTTGCCAAGGTAATTGATATTTTGTTCCTTCTCTTGGTGAAGCTTGCGAGTTCATGCTAACAACAGCCTTCCAGGCACCATGTCCGCAAACGGGACCTCGCATACAAATGGGAATGGCCTTACGAATGGGCACAGTGAACACTTACCCAGATGCTATTATGGGTATTGTGGCCAACGTTTCACTACTATGGCGGAACATGCGACCCACGAAGAAACGCATGATAGTGTCACTGATGGTTTCCTCTGTACCTTTTGCTCCTCGCCTTACTTGGAAGCACGGGATTGGAGACTTTGTGAGGAAAGCCACTCTGAGCAACGAATCCAGGATCTAAACGGCATTTACTGGGTGTGTTCGCTGCCGGACCGTGACAATGATTCAAGGCTTTGCAATACATCGTTCAAGGTTACGCAACGTTTCGAGTTTGCACAACACTTGACAATGATGCACGGAGTGGGTACCTCTTGGAGCGTGGTGCTGTCAGTCCAGAGAGATAATTGTTTTCCGATTCATGCTGATGGATTTTGGTGTGGGTATTGTCGAAAGGCTCTAAAATACGATGATCCGCAAATACAGGAAGGCCTCTCTCTTACAGATTTAGACCAACCGCTGCGTTTGGATCATATCCAAAAACATATTCTCAATGGGACAAGACCTCGCTCATGGCAATGGCCTCGAGCGGGCGTTACTGAACAAGCTTCAGGGGAGGAGCAGTAGTGCGGAGACGAGGGAATACTTCTGAGGGAACAGTTATGAGTCGAACATCTTTTACGTAGCTGATTCTGCTCCGGGAGGAAGTTACTCAAACAACCAAAATGCAATACCTTTAAATCTTTCCCATGGATGATCGCATCTCGCTTACTTTCCTATTTTAAGTGCCTTGATCACTCAATCGACCTCATAGATCGACAGGTCTCCGTATCCCTTCATTCTATCCGAACTTCCGAATATGTTAGTCAGGAACTCCTGAATCCTTTCTCAATCATCCAGGCTTGCAGCAGCTACAGAAACGCGACTACATCCTTCCTGGTAGACTTGCCGAATGTCGCATCGAGGGGCTCTCTAAAATACACCCCAATTCGCTGCCATTACCGGAACCACGTACACAGCCTGCTCCTTCAAGTGCTTCTGTCTCATCCCTGGGTTAGGACCCCACGAACGGTTGAGGCTCCGCTATTGTTGTCTAAGTGGTTGCCTCACCTCAGACCCAACCAATGCGTCTCGTAAGTTCGGGCGCCACCTGGTCTGCCGGAATTGATATTGTGACTGTCGCGCTAAATCGATGTTTGTTTGAATGACCTAAAAATACAGATGACAAGAAAAAGTATCCTAGGCACTAATGGTCATTATGCATCCATGCCACTTTGTTCATAACATACTCGGGTATCCCGAGCTATCGTAGGACTCAACATTCGCTTGGCAATTTCCCAGACCGCAAGATGAATGTATCTCGTGGCATCTAACAGTGACAAATAAAATGATATTCAACCGCATTCTGTCTCTCTTGAATGGTTGTATGTGTTGTTCGATCAATGTGGTGATCTCTATCCCTTTCAGTATTCTTAGCGAGGAGCTTACCGCTTGGGCGACACCCAGTAAACATCTAAAGGGGAGAGTAGGGTCCTTTCATGATGATGTTGTCCAAAAACTGGAGCAATTGATACTTTTCGCCGAACAGTCAATTCAGATCCAAGTCCTTCACTCCATGGTGGCAGGACCGTATTTTTATACATGAGCGCGCACGTTTAACTTTCTCGACATCTAGTTTCCAATTGCGATCATCTGTGAAGGCTATCACTCACCAGACCCTACATTTTTATTCAGACGTTCGGCTTTCTTGGACGAGTCAGAATACGGAAATATAAACATCAAGTTAGCTTGAATTTCCCTGCTTTCCCCACAGCCAAGTTCAAACTGGTGGCTGCGTATGCTAATGTTGTAATAGAACTTCAGCATCATGTCTGTCCAATGTGAGCAACAAGCAGTCCGACCTGAGCAAGTGGACATACAGTTTCCGCCTATGCCTGATCGAGTAGGAGAGGACCAAGACGAAGAAATAATCTCGGCCGAACGAGAGGCAAGGCAGACTGGACAGCCTACCAAACTTGGGTGCGTCCATTGTAGACGCGAGTATGCCATCGAGGCTGCTTGAATGCGTTGTGATAAATCCCATCCTAACCTTATATACTATCTATGCGAGGAGCACTCGCTTCCTACTCCCGGTCGCCCTGGCGTTCCCTCAAACATCATTCCTGGCGATCCAAGATGCAGGCGTTTGCAAATGTACTCCAGGTTCGGAGACTTCTATCAACACTATTATAGTACCCACGGCTGGGATCCGATAGACGATCTCCTAAAATGGAGTGACTGCGGAAAAGACAACTTCTTTTGTGGGTTCTGTGTCAAGAAGAGGAAATACCCACGCGCTGTACCCGATGACACGCAAGCCACGACCGACAGAAATATGAGACTCCGTCAAAGACATATCTTAGAACATTACCGGCATGGCGCAATAAGAAAGGAGTGGTTCTCTCCACCCCTCATGGACATCCCTCGGTCTAATCGGCGACAGTGTCCAAGATGCGCACTATCTACGTTGTCGCCGTCGCCATCACCATATCCGAGAATCATGATCATTTTCCTGATCGAGCAGCTACTAAGAATTAGACAGTGGAAACGACGCTCAGCGAAGGGCCTCGATAGCCACCGATCAACACAGACATCGTACATGGAAGGAGGACAAGCCGTCAAGAGGGACGCTACGTGAGAACAACTTTTCCGTGATGAGCAGGAGTAACACGCCTCGGAAGTCTCGATCATACTCCGTCAATAACCCCTTTACTCCATACGTCCGGCGGCTCCTAAACTATGATTTGAGGGCCAAGAGGGGGATGGAGGATGAGAGTGGCGCGGTGATCAGAGAGCTCTGCCAAGTAAACCAACATCGTGCATCTTAATTGTTTTTCCGGTCTTATTCTAATCTTTTTGGAAGAGAATACGCATATTAAAGTTGAAGTTATTCGTTTAGCTTTTTGGTTTAACGAAATGTTATCTTGGAATATTATTTTATCACTCAATAGCGAAGAGCTCTTCTGGAACACGAAAATGCCAACCTACCTAAATGGCGTCAGTGCGTGCAAACAAGGGCGGTCAATGGGTTTGGATTGGCTTCGGTCTAACTTCCATTGTATTTTTGCATCATAATTATATGGTTGAAATGATGCTAGAGAAGAATAAACGCTGCGATCGAGAGTCAGCTTCATCCCATTCGGACTCGCGGCTGAAAGGAACAGCCGACTGCTCTGCTTGATTCTCAATATCCACTTTGTGCCGTCCGGTGCCGTCCCTTGCCGACCAATGCCGACGAACGCGGCGGCCCCCGCTATCCGGGCCGTCGCCAATAACACTTCCAAACAACGTCGAACTATCCGTATGTCTCAGTAAAATACCAGAGGGGCTTTAGATCAAGCCATCTGTCTTTCCTGCACTGTACTTATCATGACTCTTGGCACGGGGAAGAGGTCGTATCGCGCGTGTACGAGATGCCGAAGTCGAAAGACCAAGTGCAACTTGTCAGTATGCCCGCGATTTGCCCAACGACTCTGCTCTAATCAACACATTTCAGTGAAGGGGTTGGAGAGCCTATGAAACCTCCCTGTGTTTCCTGTTACTATTCTGGAAGTGAATGCGTTGTGTCTTCATCGCGCAAGTCTCGTAAAGCAAGGCGGGATCACAACACCCAAGCGTCTCCTTCCTCAGTCGAACCATCACCCGGGCCAGCATCTCCTCGGTCTTCAGTCTTCGTCCCCTCAACGAACGAAGATAGTTGCAACGAAGATGAAGTTACGGGACCCGATGATCACAATGACATGGAGCTCAGAAATCCCTCTGATGCTTTGCAGATTCTTGCTCGTTCAAGGAACAAGGTATCTACTAGGAATTTAATTACACATCGTCCAACATCTCACCATACAAATACCATGCCCTCAGCCAAGCCCAGAGAGACTCTTGTAAGACTGGAGGAATTCAACGGCTCTGGCTTTCCGATAGAAAACTCAGCCCCTAAGTGCATGACAGATACGATGTCGGGACTAAACAACTTTGAGCTGATTCGACGAGGTGTTCTTCGCCTTGACAAGGCATCCGAGCTTCTGGATATGTAAGGCAAAGCCCCCGACATGACTGTAATATAAGACTCAACGGAATAGGTTTGCAAGCAACTATCATCCGTACTGCCCTGTCACTCCGACATACTTCTTCACACAGCCAGGCCAGCTACAGAAACGTGACTACTTTCTACTAGCAGTCTTGTTGACTATTGCATCAAGGGACTCTCCAGGGGACGCACATTTTCACAGCCAGTGTTGGAATTACGTGCAAAGTCTACTTCTTCAAGTGCTCCTAGCTCATTCATGGACTCAAACCCCGCGAACAGTCGAGGGTTTGCTACTCTTATCTGAGTGGTTGCCTCATATCGAATCAAAACGTTCCGCCTTGGCGGTCCACAAGGACCACTTCAGTGAAGGACAAACAGCTTGGTCAATTGTCGGTCTCGCCGTACGCTTGGGCTACTCGTTGAGACTAGACCGTGCCGCATTCCGGAGTCCTACATCGGGAGAGCCAGTAGACGATAAACAGGAGCAGAATCGTCTCATTTGGACGTGTGAGTTTAAGACTTTCAATTGGTAGAAGAAGTTTGCGCTGATCATGTTCTCAATTGCAGTCACCTACTTGGCAGACAGGCAGATCTCAGTTCGATTAGGGCAGTCTTTCTGGTCCCGTGGGCCGGCTCTATCTTCCAAGTTCACGGCCAAAGACTTTCCGAGTCTAAAGCCTGTGGCTGGATGTAGTACCGACGACTACGCATCAGTTCTGCATGCGCACTTGGATTTGATGCAGATACTTCACAACGCTCACTCGATACTCTACTCTGCCAATGCGAGAACGCTGTCGATGATTAACGAGGGCGATTATCCGCGCTACTTGGATGACCTGATGGAAGCAGCAACGGCATGGAGTACCAATTGGGGAGGTCTCCAAGTTTCTCTGAAGCTGAAGTCTACGCTCCGTATTTCGCACGAATATCTCTGTTTATATATTAACGCATTCTCTTTTCATGCCGTGGTGACGCGTGAGTCTCAACATCAAGGTCCTCGGCGAGACGATCGACGGCAATTACGCGGCAACAAGAGATCGGGGTTGGATCTTTTCCCCAATGGTCTTATGGCCTCACCTGACGCAAGATACATTGCAAGTGCTATTACGGCAGCAAGAGACCTTCTTAGTCTTACAACGGAGTTGGATCCCCGAAGGGTTTTGTGTTACCTCCCTTCACGTTATCATCTGTAAGTTCTCTCTCTTGAAGGTTCTCACAGCCCAATGCGATTCGAGACTGACTGAAGCTGCAAGCTACGGACTCTATGCCGCAGTATTTCTATACAAGGCTCTCAATGCAGGGGCTATACGGGGCCATGCTCAACAGAAACAAGTGAGAGGCCTGTCGCAAGCCTTCATCTTGACCCTGGACGAAGTGGCCTCAACTGAACCGCACATCTGCCATGGATACAGTGTCCTACTGAGGGAGCTTTGGCAGCAAGACAAAGACCCGCAGATTGAATCAGGCCCAGAAGTCCAATGTGACCAAGGAACTCATAAATATCAATCGAGTGCAGTAGAAGACACCATCCTCGGTGATCCATCGACGTGGGGCTCCGAGGGGGGTTTTCAGCCTATCGTGCAAGGCCTAGACCGAGTGAAGCAGCCTCTCGCCGGATCGAGTTCCAGCTCGGCGGAGGCTGTTGTTGGCACTCAGGACCTCCTATCCTTTGAAAACTACTTATTCAAGTCTATGTGGCCCGAACTGGCTAGCCCAGAGCATCAAGGGGACTTCTATGACATGGAAGGAGAGCTCCTAGGTTTCGATATGGGTCCTTTGAGCGAGTTCGAACCACTCTAGTCAGGTTCACTCGAAGAAATGACTTTGCGTCGATCGGTAACTTGTCCCTTGAGCTCACTGAAGGCAGCTACGAAAGCCAACCGACTCTTCTAGACTCCTAGTGATCAAAACTTAAATCGTTGCAGTCAAATTCGTCCCATCATCAACCTAAAAATCTCCCTTTAATGGGCATAAAATAGCGTGGCTTCAGAATTGCTTGCCCGAATCCTCCTGTTCTCTCTCACAAGCATCCACTTCATCAGCCATGCACCAGCGGCGCAGGCCACACAAAACGCCGCACTGCTGGCCATAGGGATCACATATCTTGGGGCATCTGACGTGGGCCACAAGTACTGGCGACATAGTCAGAAAACAGTTCCTCTGGACATTCCAAGGAGAAACAGGGGCAGCCGACTTACAGGTGTCCAGATAAAGCTGATACTAGCGCTGGTATTCACAATCGCCAGTGCCGAGGCCTTCTTCTCTCTCGTCTGTCCGCACGTACTTCCAACCCAGCCGAGCAAGCTGACCCCAAACAATGTCAGCTTTACTAGAATCACAACCATATCTCTGCGAACCTGGTTTGGGCGATTTTACTCACATCGAGTTTACACCATACGTGCCAATAGTAAACACCGTCATGGCGAAGTACCGAGCACCAGTGTTCATCGTCACGCAAGCCAAGATGAACCCGAAAGCAGCAACGGCTTTAGAAATGGTGATGTGCCACGTCCGCTCGTTGAAACGTCCGGAGCTCCACGCCCAGACGATGGATAGGATGCCAGCGATGAGGTATGGCGGACACGTCAGGACCAACGTAATCGTCGTGTTGAAATTTAGCGTTTGCACAATCGCTACATACAAGTTAGCTGGTGATGATCAAGAAGAACAATCTTCGGGATGAAAACTTACTGGGAAAGAAGTTCTTGAACCCATTCGTCGCAAGATGGCAATGCTGCATCCAGATAAACACCCACACCTTGGGATCGACAATCGCCTCGCGCAGACCACCTCAAGTACTACTCTGCATCTTCGCACCTACAGTATCCCTCTCAATCCTATCATGCGCAAGCTGTCGTTCCTCAGGCGTCAGCCACCTCGTCGTAAGAGGCTCATCGGGAAGCGTATAACAAGCCATCATAGCAATCACAAACGTCACCGCGCCCTGCAAAATGAATAACCACCGCCACCCCTCCAGACCATGCAACCCTTCCATCCCGTGGAACACACCCGCAGCAATCAACCCCGCAAATGCAGTCGCCAGAATATTCCCGGAATACAACACACTAATCCTCGTCGCGAGCTCCTTCCTGGTATAGAAGATGGACAGGATGTACAGAGCGCCGGGGTAATACGGCGCCTCGACGACACCTAGAAAGAAGCGCGTGAGCACTAGCCCTTTGTAATCCTTCACCACGGCCGTGAGGGCGGAAACCACGGCCCAGGCCATCATGAAGCCACCCATGTACCAGGAGGGCCGCACGCGGGTTAGGATCATGTTGCTGGGGATCTGGCCAAGAATGTAGCCGACGAAGAGGATGGAGACGCTGGTGGAGTATTCGACGCTGCTGAGGCCAAGTTGCTTTTCGAGGCCGTTGAGTCGGGCTAGGGCAATTGCGTTGCGGTCGAGGTAGCTAGGTGGTGGTGTTAGTCGGTTGGTCCTCGGAGTCGACTTGGGGGTTCGGTGGAGGGAAGACTTACTTGAGCCAGTACATCAACCAAAGAGTTGGCTTCGTAGTGTAGAGTTAGATCATATTTGGACAAGTAGCTTGAGTCTCGAAGGTCATACCATCACCCAGAGATCCAACTTCCTCACGAGCTTGATCTCCGTAGGGTCAGTCTTGGCCGCAGCTCCAGAGTAATCGACCGCCACAGCAGGCCTCTTCTCGTCGTCCAGCACATGAGAATGCTCCTGGTGAAGGACCTGCTGTTTCTCAATGTCGGTTGGCGATTGCGCCGGAAGGCCCTTGGCCACAGTTTCCGGCTGCGTCGCCATCTTCACAATAGTTTTGTCGTTGCTGCTAATCCTCAGCAAGAATAATAGAGGAGTCACAACAGACGATGGCAAGCAAGTTGAAGTGTTGAAGCAACGGATTAGGGGTCACATCCAGAAACCTGGCCAAGGGTAATTAAGACTGTATATGTACGGCGATCTGGTGCAACGAAACCTCAATCCCCCCTCTGTCCCTCTTCCCCGCAACAACCCCGGATTTGGCATCCTTGGCTCCGCGATATTATCTGGTGGGGGGCCGTAACGTGGTGGCAGGGTGGTAGGTGATCCATAGCTTTGGACCCAGAGTGACGCCGTTCCACAATGGTGCAGGTAGCGGAAGCGTAAAGCGGCAAAAGCACATCTCGGCCAGCGGCGCCGAAGGCCGACAAGACATCAGGATGAGTAAGGAGAGCGGCCATGTCCCCGCCCCGCCACAAAGGATTCATGGTCTCTCATTGCCCAGCCGCCGTCTCTCTCCAACTCCAGGTTTCCCCCCTGTCATTTCACTTCAGTTCCCCGCTGGATGGTGCTATTGGGGAATGGTTTAGGTGGGCCAGATATGACTCTGCTCAGTGTACTCACTTTCCCCTGTAGACACTAGACCAATCAGACAACACGTTCCTGAGACGTTCCCATGTGCCGTGTTGGTTCTCGGTAAAGTGTTGAGAGGCTGGGAGAGAAGAGTCGTGAGGAGTTTTCGGCCTCGGCGGCCGCGCCGATGCTTCGGTCTGTGATACCGCTCTCCTACGGTCGTACATCACAGTGATCATCTACGAGACTCAAGTGAGTGCCGTGGCTTTCTTGCTGAGGAGTTGGTTTCACATCACTTTGATTGGATCCGTTGCACTCCCGATGGATTGGTAGGATGATGTAGACAGATGATATCCGTTTGAGGTCTTGGCTCGGTGCTAGGTCCGCAGGTACTAAGTCCGCAATCGGCGGTTGCTGATGTCTTTGGATCCAGAAGATGGATCATGGTTATGTCTATTATTCTGAAGATATCCGTCGGCACATGTGAACCAGACAGCTTGGGAAATCTTGTATGATAATACCGCGGACCGCGTTGAAGTCTGATTCCCCTTCCTTGATATCTTGCGCCTCTGCTCCTCGCTTTGCTCCTCTTATCTCCTGTCTCTACCCTTCCCCCTTCCTTCAACAGCGGCAATTTCAACATGATCGATAAACCCCCCATCAGAATCGGAAACGTCTCCGGCGCAACAGGCGACCACCCCCACGCCATGGCGCGCATGCTGCGCTCCGGCAACGTCCAAGTCATCACGGGCGACTGGCTCTCCGAGATGAACATCGCCTGGAACGCAATCACCAAGCGCGACGTCGACCCGAACCTCGGCTACGAGAACGGCTTCTACGAGCAGCTCGAAGAATGCATCGACGATATCGTGGCCAAGGACGTGCGCGTCGTGACGAACGCGGGGGCGCTCAATACCGTTGCGCTATTTGACAAGGTTAAAGAGCTGTGCAGGAGGAAGGGGTATCCTGAAAGTGTAGTTGCTGCGGTTTTGGGGGATGATGTCTCTGGATTACTCCAGGACTCTTCAAGGAGCGGGAGTTTGAAGTTCCCGCACTTGGATCACCCAGAGACCACCCTCGACGATTGGGGTTTCGAGCCCTGTTGTGGCAACGCGTACATCGGGTGCTGGGGCATCGTGGAGGCTCTCAAAGCAGGCGCGCGCATAGTAGTCTGCGGGCGATGCACCGACGCTTCGCCAGTGATGGGCGCCGCGGCGTGGTACTACGGCTGGAGAGAAGACCAGCACCAGGAGCTGGCCGGCGCCCTACTCGCGGCGCACCTGATTGAGTGCGGGCCATACGTCGTCGGCGCCAACTTCTCCGGCTTCAAAGACTTCCTCTCGGAGCTGGTCGATCTCGCGTTCCCTGTGGCGGAGATTTCTCGCGGCGGAGAGTGCGTTATCAGTAAGACTACCGAGGGCGGCGGCCATGTTACGCGGCACACCGTCACGGCGCAGCTGTTGTACGAGCTGCAGGGCCATCTCTACCTCAACCCGGACGTAGTGGCCGACTTGTCAAGTGTCCGCGTCGAAGAGCAGAAAGATGCCGGGGAAGATCGTGTCAGGGTATGGGGTGCCAAAGGGCATCCGCCACCGCCGACAACAAAGGTCATGTTCGCTGCTGAAGGCGGGTACCAGGCCGAGGCGACATTCTACATCAACGGACTTGACGTGGACGAGAAGGTGACGATGATGAAAAACCAGCTAGGATACCTCTTCAAGGACAGCAACTTCAGCAGGCTGAGCATCGAGCAGTACGGAACACAAGCCCGGAACCCTAGCTCTCAGCAGGCGGGCACCGTGCAGCTTCGTGTCTTTGCGCAGGCGCGAAAGAAGGAGGATATTGCGGCCGTCAACTTCAAGATTCCGATCTATGCTGTGAGAATGCAGAGTTACCCCGGCTACCACATGTCGCTAGATTTCCGAACAATGGACCCGAAGCCGTTCATGGAGATGTTCCCGGCATTGGTACCACAGTCAGCTATCGATCATCAAGTGCTTCTGGCCTCAGGCAAGCTGATCTCCGTTGCTCCGCCTCAGAACACTGCGATGTATAAGATTGAGAGGCCATCCGCAGACACGGCAGATCCAATCGACATCATCTCCTTGGGCCCGACAGAGTTTGCGCCTTTGGGAACCATTGTGCACGCTCGTTCTGGAGACAAGGCCGACAACTCGAACGTGGGCTTCTTCGTTCGCAATGAGGATGAGTATCCCTGGCTGCGGACTATCTTGACCGTGAGTCGGCTCAAGCAGTTGTTGGGTGAAGACTGGTACAAGAATAATCCAAACCGGAGGGTCGAACGGGTTGAATTCCCCGGGATCAGTGCTGTGCATTTGTGAGTCGAGCTGCTTCTTTCAGTATGAACATTGACTAATGAATGTATTAGCCGAATTCTGGACAACTTGAATGGAGGAATTGCATCCTCGGATAGAATAGATGGCTTGGGTAAGGGGATCGCGGAGTACCTACGGAGTCGATACGTCGAGGTGCCGCGAAGATTCTTACAGCGGGGCAGGATTTGAGGTATAATGCTAGCTTGTACGAATAATAGAAGAACGTATTTGCTTTCAATATCTTGTGACGCTAGAAGTAGCGACTCGGAGTTTCTCCCATTCCAAACAGCCAATCTTGGGAAAGTTGAGCAATAGCATCGCTGTGATACTGGTCATAGCAGATATTCTGCAGGTCCCCAAAACAGTCTCGTAGAGTCTCGTCGACTGTCATGTTAACAAAGTTCTGGCCAGGGCCTTGACCATACATGGCATCATTCAGGCTCATCTCCATAGCTTGAGATAGGTGCTCAGTCTCGCCTGTGGGTTGGTTGTTATAAGCCGGCTCATTCGATGATGAACCGTTTCCAGTTTGGGCTTCGACAATGTCTGCGACAACGGCGTCACTGAGGCGGTCGAATACTTCGGAGCAGTTGCGCGCCATGGCCCATCTCTCGGACACAGCCACCAGCACCTTTGAGCAGGCTCGGGTATCGTTGACCACCTGGCTGATTGTGGGAGTTGTTCGCAGCGTGGCTCTGGGCGTGTTGGCATTCGCGGGGTTCCGGCTTTGCATATGCTGGAGATGATTTCTCAGTGCATAGATGTAGGAGAGTCCTGCGATGAAGATGGAGTGAAGTGTCACCCAAGAATAGTTGATCTTTCTGGAGCGGTGCAGGTTAGCGTACAGCTTGATGGCCTCTTGCGAAGAGTCAAACATGTGCTGTAGCACGATGCTATTTCCAGTGGCATCGCATAGGGTGGGAGATGGGCGGAACAGCATCAAGATTCCGTTGTGGTACAGGAGATTGTACCATTCTGCCGAGCGGAAACTGGACCTGCTGGCGGGCGAGGTGAGCGGCGCCTCTGGGGGAATCAGTGGAAGGCTATTTGTCCCCTCGCGCCATGACTGGAGCTCTTCGGCGAGGGCGTTTCGACTATCTTCGTAGGTGACTGGGTCTCGGGCTATGTTCGCGCTGCGATGGAGGACGTTGAGAATCTTGCCGCAAATCATTCGGTACCTGACAATGTGAACAAAGATTGCGGTTCCAAGATGCCACTCTGGGGTCCTGAAAGAGGCCGTCGATAGTGAATTGGAAAGTGGGACGGGGCTTCCAGGCACATCGAAGGGCGGAAGGTCGACGTCGATATCCTCAAGCTGGATAGCCAGCGGCCGTCCCAGGATGAGACTGGCAATCCGATCCATCGATACCACACTCCAGAAACACCGTCTCTTGATTTCAACGTCTTCATGTCTTCCCTCCACATCCGCCTCGTCACCGAGTCGTGATGAAGGGACGGTATACGTCGACCCCTTGTGCAACCCCAGCTCGAAGCATGTCCTCGCCGCAACCCCAATCAGGTGCCAGACGCTGGTGCTCGTGTCGTGTGAGGTTGTTCCCATCCTGTACTGACAGATCAGAAGCAAGGCCTGAAGAGCAGTGATACCTCCGCGAGACAGAACATCGCCCAAGCGCGTCATGGCGCGTGTATAGTGAACCTCGGAATCCCAGAACCCGTTCCAGTTCAACTTGTAGACTTGTGCGGTCCCGATGGCAAGAGTCATGTCGACAAGAAAGCTGTCGATCGGATTCCCCTTCTCTGGGTCTCCTACGTCGTAGACAACGTCTAGGGCCCGGTCCAGTGCTTTCGGTGAGAGAAACGGATAGCAAAGCCGGTCGTGACTGGAGTATGCATCTAGTATCTCTACCGTCATGCTCCTTGGCGGCAGACTGGTAGCTCCACTGGTGGGCACAAGGCTTCCCGTACGTCCATGATGGCGGGATGCCGAGCTTGGGTATTGGCCGACGGTATGGCTAGGTGCCTCGGAAGACTGGCTATGAGACTGTAGCAGATTGGCGAGGAACAGACCGCTCGTCGAGCCGACAAAGTCTCGACCGCCACCAGCGCTGAGTGATAGATGAATTACCTGGCTAGCAATCTCGCCGCCCCCAGCAGCTGGTGCTTCAGGCTCGTCAG